CCTATTAAGAAACGAAATAATTTCGTCGAAAGATGCGTAACGTTAATCGTACGACAGCTTTCACAGTTGAGGAACATCTTCCTTGTTTTCGATCTTTCAGTTGACCACGTCGGCTCGCGACTGACTGATTAGCATAAAATGTGAACAGAATGCGGGATTCGAATACTGCGAGGAATGAGTAACCGTGCGGTAATGGCCGTGCACGCGAGTTCTCTTTGACGAAGTCTGTTCCTTTCAGAACAGACAGAAGCGGCTACCAGTATTAGCGTTCGAAGGTGTGGAGGTCGCACCAGTCGTGACAGTCGTAACACTTTCGTGGCTGGATCGTTAAGTAGCGATATCGACGACAATAACGGTATGCCCGAGTGTATATCGATGGCCTGGCCTCGCTTGTCGCGGGAACCTCCTTGAGAATCTACGAGCGTCCATTGTCCTCGAGATTACATAAGAGATTGCGTTCCTCGCGGTCTTGAAACTTTTCAACGACCTCGGTTTCTAGATCAAGCCGATCGGGATGCTCGTTATCGCGTCATCGACGCGTCTTATCGATATCGGACCGTGAAAGGATTAACGAAAAGATTGTTAACAACGTGGTAACTCTGTAGATAGAATCTCGATAGAACACAACAAGCTCCGAGCTTCCTTCTTCTTGTCGATCCTTGTCCTCTGTTCCGTTGATGCATTTGCACGTATTTCTAAATCACGAGTTACGATGTATCGAAGCAGCAGTCTTTCCAGCTCCACTCGATCCGTTTCAGGTCGACTTAACATTCGTGCCATCTTGGCCGTAAGAAATACATCATAGAAATACGGAGCAGCCGAACAAAAGCAGCAAGGGGTTGAAGGGATTGTCAGGTGAACGCATTTTGAAGAGATACTCGTGAACGAGGGCAGAGAGCCGAGCCGAGCTGTGTTTACCGAGCTGTCGAGAAGTGGAGGCAAGCATCGGAGGGAGTTGTTAAAAACCTACGGTACCGTGACTGTTTTTTCCGACGCGTCTGAAAGAGCTGGTCTTTAATAAAAGCAGCTACGACTTCCTTAAGAACGTCACGAGAAACACGTTAAAAATGCGTTAACAGCTTGTAACGAGTACCTTCCGTGTCAGTGATCCGTCTCTCCTTCCCCCGCCGAGAAATCTCGTGGATTCCTGTAGGTGTCGTCGACAGGTATTTCACCTCGTCGTCCCCCCCCCC